AGCCCCACATCATCAAGGATCCACCTCCAAACTTCTGGGTCCCTTCCACCAACCTATCACTGAGGCTCTCCCCTGGCTTCTTCCACACCCATTTCCTTCCATCTGACCCCATACTGTTAATCTTTGTCTCATCTGACCATACCACCCTTCTCCAGTCCTCCACAGTCCAATATTGGTGAGCCAAAGCAAAGTCCATTCTCTCCTTTTGATGCCTTGCAGCGAGTAAAGGCCTTCTGCACTTTACTACAGCCTTCATTCCTGCCTTCTTCAACCCTCTTCACACTGTCTCTGCATTGACAACCTTCCCAGTAACATCTCCAAGAGCTCTGACCACAGCAGGAGATGTGGTAGCCTTGCCAGTCCCAATAAGTCGAGTAGCATAGCGAAGATTGGCAGTAGAAAGAAGGGAAGGTCATCCTCCTTTGGCCTTAGAAATGGTGGGACAGTGTGTGGAGCATAGTTTACTGATGGTAGAGTAGTGTAGACCAGTCAAAGCTTCAATTTCTCAAAGAGATTTGCCATTCTGAAGCAAAGCGATGACATGGCTGACAGTTTCAGTAGCAACAGCTTTTGGCATGATGTTGGTTGAGTGTGAAAAGTTGTGTACAGCTGTTTGTACATTGTTCATGTTGAAACATGAACATCAATCAATATTCCCACAAAGAACCCTGTCAACACATCAAAAATCACAATTTTCTGAGAACTTGTGTGTGTGCCACAAAACTGTTGATAAGAGTGACCCTCAAAGATTAGTAAATATCTTGGGATGAAAATGTGATAAAAATATGACCAAACCTGCGTTAGAAAGCCATGATAATATGCTTTCCAATGAGTCCTTATACAATGTAGTTAACCCATTGGTTGAGGAGATATTCACTATACAAGTCGAAGTGAGCAATCTTATCAACAGTTTTGTGGGCAACTGTAAGATACTTTCAGGTAGAATGACAGAAGGACTCACGGGGCTTCAGTTCTCTGATAGATGAGCAACTGAAGCCCGGGGGAAGGAGCGAAGTGAGTGAAAAGTCTGACGGGTGCTAATCCTCAATAAGTATGTAAAAGGAAATACCTACTGTTAAGTGAGATTGTAAGTCCATACTTAGTCTTGTCTATGCTTGCCATTCCAACAATTACTGCTTATTAAACATAATTGACAGCTATGGCGGCAAAGGGTATCACATTATCATGTTGATCCTCATGCAGATGTTCTACAAAGACAAATGCGACATGCACCAGTGCCATCCCTTGTCGTACAATATCATGCTCGAAGAGGTCCTCCTACCTGAGATTGCTGTGCATCTTATTCAAGAAGATCTGTCACAAACTCGTCAGCAAGCCATCAACACATTGCACGATAGCAGTATGTACAGCATTATGCTGTATCCAGGAGATCGAGGGAGTGATCCTGAGATTGAAACCTCATAGATTGATGTCTGATATACATCGATCATAAATCATTATCATAGCTACATTGCGAGTAACTCTTCACGGGGAATGATGTATAGTTTATGACCCTTACGCTCGAGCTTCCTGACTATCATGTGATTCCGATGCTTGACCATCTCATCCAGGAAGAAATTATATCAGTCGACTTGCATTTCACGAATGATGGCTTGGTACTTTCCAAACCAGACATTTGCCTGTTCTGCAGCTGAAGAGTTGAATCGCCATTGGTCATCATTGGTACGCAATTCGGACCAAAGGTATGGATTGCAATGAGTGTCGCAGATTATGTCAATCTCCTTATGCTTGCACTTGAAGTGAAATATGTCAATGAGAAGGGCACAACCCTCAAAAAATGCTTGTGTCTCATTGCTCGAGTTATTGAGCATGCTTCACAAGCAGCAATTTTGATCATGCCAGAGCACACGGGGAAGTGATGCATGCATGGGGAATAGGTGATGTCAAAAATGCTTGATAAATTAATTAGTTGCAGAAGTACATGCATCAGATTTGAATCACTCACCAGAACACCATTTATAGCTTCAGAGCCAAAGAATGTTGCACACCCTAGGTTGACACCACATGAGGTGACACACAACTCCTCAATATGTGTGCGACGGTGCCCAAATTGTGCTCGGATTCACCTGTTGCCCTCCATGGACTTCTCCTCGCATTCTAACACACCATCTTGGGGAAGTATGTTGCTCAGCATCTTGTCAGCTGCAGTAATATCATGTTCTGCACAAACTTCTAGTTCCTCAAGCACAGATGGAAGGGTTGACACTTGTGAATCATGCTGTTTCAGCTGTGACATGCGAAGGCATTCAAGGCAATGCTTCAGTTGAAACATTGCCTTGTTCTCGAGCTGTTTGAAGCTTTCGAGTGCACAGTGGCTTGGCAGCAAACATGTCATAAAGCCTGCATCAGCGAGCTTACTGCAGAGTACAACCACACATTCTTACTCTTTTGCTGCATGGACAGAACAGTAGCGTGTGTCTTTTGTCATTATGAGCAGTTGCATACAGTCATGAACAGCACAACAGGGGTGCCCTATGGACACACCATCAGTGACGACAGAGTGTAGTGCTTCTGGTGCACTGATGAGAGTCAATGATGTGAGAGCTGTGAAATACATCTGATAGACTCACTCATCTGTCCATCCTCATCCTGATATATCCAGCAGCATAGATCGCAACCATGGTTTCACTCCTCCTGACCAGAACTGGCAAGAAGCATGTTCCGTGCATGCAAGGCAGGGCAAAGGCATTCATCTTGGCTTGGAGCATTGTGAGGGAGTTGTAGTACAGTAGTGCATTCACAGTGATCAGTGAGAAGTGAATAGAGGAAAAAAGCATCCCAGACATATTCTGGCATTATATCCAGTCTGGAGCTCCATTGAGAGGGTAGAGCACTGTGCAAATCCAGCATAATGAGGCTTTCATTGTAGAAGCGAGCACAATTAGTGACAGAAGTCCTATCACTAGTGCATAAGCACCATCTATTATTAAATGCACTGCAAAGACTTACCAAGAAATGATCATAAGATTTGCGAACATCTTGCACACTTCATCAGTGACGAAGAAATGTTGAGCAACCTGTATGAAGCATGGCACACATGGATAATATGTATGAGTTGTTGGTTTGCCGTGAACATAGTGGTTTGAATGGTATCGCATATGACAGTCTGAGATCAATGAGTGATGATCACCACTGCTGAGAAGGAATGTGACTTACTGCAACAGTATAGAGATGTTGTGCAGGCTGGTAGAGATGCCACCATCTGAGGTCCCATTTCACCATCAGAAGTTAAGCACGTTCTTCACAAAACCAGAACTCTAGATGTTGCAGATACCTACAAAGAGGTTCGTGGGACTATTTGCCAATAACTGAGTTACCTGACTGCTGCTTGCCTCAGGTGTAGCCAGCACCACAGGAGCAGTTTCGTTTTCACTGTCCAAAAGGAGCGACAGATCAATATCGACATGCTGAGCTAATAGAGCTATGGATGTGGTTGTGCCAGACATGTTCTGCTGCTTCAACTGGTTTGCGTTTGCTTCTTCAGTGGCAAGGTCAAAAACTGATACATTGTGTGAGTATATTTCTTCTACGATAGTCTTACCAACACAAAACTCACCAGTGTCAGAGGTTTCAAAAATTTTAGCCTTCTTCGCCCTGTGACACAAAACCAATGGGCCTGCAAGGATCTACTCATCTGTCGTGTCATCCTCAAGCACATCAGGCAACTCATATTTGAATACTGCTACAGTTCCTGTCAATACTGGTACACATGTTCAGCGAGTGTAGTGCTCACATCGGCCAATTTCCTTCCCCTTCCCTTTTGCAGGTGGCAGACTTGCTGTCGAGTCTTCTGTGCCTGTACCTTTCTCAGAGTCACTGTCTCCCAGCTCCTTGTCACTATGCCAGTTCTCATATACTTCTGATGCAATGGCTTTTCTCGTCACTGAAGACACCTAGTGAGTTGTCTAAGTTTGGCCTAGGTCATAATGCACCAATGATTATATTGCTAGCTGTCCATGAAGCTCACTCCCCACCTTTAAACTCCTTGTAGTCAGTACTGCATGGATGAGGCACATTCTCCACTATGTGAAGTCCATTGCCCTTGCAGAACAGAAGCACATAAGGTAACTGCTTTTCATGAATGCTCTTGTCATCATTCGCATTAATTGTCAGGGCCCAGGGATCAGTGCAAGTGAGGTATATAAACAACTTCAGATGATGCACTCAAAGATGATTGTGCATGCGAGCTGTTCCCCATGTTGAGTAGAACATAAGCTCTTTGCCATAGTCTTGCTCTGAGACTTCTAAGCTGCAATCTCGCAAGGTACGCAGCTTTATCTTGTCTGGGTATCTAGTGTGTTGCAGCTCATCATTCTCCTGTCATCGTCACTTAGCATGCACTCACCATGACTTGGTGTGCATATATCATGCTTACATCAAGCCCATCTGGTATGATGACCATGGACTGAATTTTAACCTTCTTGCTCTTTATCTCTGAAGCAACATGGTTCTTCACCCTTTTGTCCTATCATCAATGGTAAGCTTGATCTGTTGGATCCTCAAATCAGATGATGAGCTAATCTTCCTGGCCTGTGCCTTATGTAAAGGCTTGAAGGGCTTCTGGCTGTCATGTTGTGAGTCCTCCCAATGACACTTTTGAAAGTTTTGCAACATCTCCTTTTGCACTTGCTGATACTTGGTAGGTTCTGTCACCAGTGAGCGCATGACTCCATCAACCTTGCTTGCATATCGAGAGCTGCTTTCATCAGTGAGAGCAGCCCCAGGTGGAACAGATGAAGATGATGCTTCTGGTATCATGCAGGACAAAGAAGGACATAGAGAGGGAGGGGGGGAGGTTGAAAACTTTGCTGCGACATCAGTATGCATCCACAATTTGCCGGTCAATGTGGTGTGCTTATCACTTTCACAGATCACATTCAGATATGATTCCAGTCCACGTACACAATATACTCTACTGCAACAGCATGTGCATCATCAAGTGCAGTGCTCGACACCAGCAATCTGCACAAAGATGTCAAATTTGCTCTGGTAAAGTCACTGGTAGCTCCTTTCGCCCCCGGCGTCCTGACCAAATGATTTTCACAGTGCTATATTCATCATCCAGCTCCTCCAGTGTAATGCAATAACCAATTAGCAAGCCTCCATCTTCATTCAAGACTCACAATGCCTCGAAGAGCATTCGCTCCACATCGATGTCAGGAAAGGGGCTTGCATGATCAGGAACATCAATAGGCTCATGGCAGATTTGATGCTGTTGAGCATCTGCGATCTGTTCTGAAATATTCTCTAGCATCTCACCCTCATTCTCACTGCCAGAGTCCTCCTCAGGTGGGTGACCAGTGCCAGTCTGTCCAGGGTGTCAGCTGACGCTCCTCCACATCATTTTGAGATATTCATGCAAAATGTCTGGATGTATATTTGTGTACTTGTCATGGTTGTCATCAAGATAAATGCTGTTCATGGTTTGTCCAATGAATTGAAGGTCATGTTGTTCTGTGAGCAAAAATGACAACGCTGCAGCATAGCACCATATCTGTGGGCTTTAATCGCTCGTGTCAGGTCCCAAAATGGGGGTATGCATTCTGTCACAGTATACAGTATCAGCACTTTCTCTATTTTGGAAGGCCCTACTGTGACTGGACTTAAGCAGCATCACCAAAGCCAGCCACAAAAGCCATGCGACATCATTGATAGTCAGCTAAGCACCCAAGAGTCTTATCAATTGTAGGTGACAAGCGCCACATCACGTGACCTACAAGGTAGTGCTCTATCAAGCACCCCTGGCACGTGACCTTAGGAGATGCCCAAGCACAAGACATTCTGATAGCCACTCAATAGGCTCAGACATAGGCATGGGACACTGAGGTCTGGATTGGTAAAGAGGTCGGCCTTATATGTCATGGCCGAGATGGCTCCTCAATGGAATGCCGCACAGACCATGACCTTATCTATAAGTCTACAACCCACCAATGACCACGTAGTATTTACTAGTAGATACATTGCCATTGGCTGTAGCACTTATGCATTATGTCTATACATGGTAGGTAGCTAAGGACCCCATAGATACTAGAGTATCAGAGGGCCTCATCCCTACATGTATATATATGCCCCTATGCGACTGGGTTATTCCCCAGTCTTATTCATCTATTTCTCACATCCATCGTGGCTTACCACAACCCTTCATCCCTGAGTCCACTCGACAGTGAGGCCTATCACCACTCACTTGTCTAAGTCATCCATTGGCTGATAGGGGGCTCACCACCCTTTTATGGTGGATCTTGAGACACCATCTCAAGTGGGACCCTGGGGCCTTACAAGGCACTCAGTATAAAGGTCACCCATGGACAGGTCATTTGTGAAGCACTGCATGGACATCATGTTACGTGTGGCAAAGCTTAGCCATGACACATTCCAGTCAGCCTGGAAGGCATGGCAATCGTGATTAATTTCATCCAGGAAGAGGTTATAGAGAAGCCACAAATGCTCAGGGTCTGTGTGATTGAGGAGGTGTAGCCACTCCAGGTGAAGGAAGAATGCTCATCACTCTCACACGAACTGCCTACCTACTTCAACCCACAGTCATTCAATGTGCATGTTATGAGTACAGCTGTGAGATTGTATGATGAGTTGTTCAGTGTGTAGACCACAGAAGGGCTCATTTACCTTCCCCACATAAAGGAAGCCTGGTTCAAGCCTCTTCACAAAATTATTTAAACTGAAATGTCAATATTCTCACCTCTGTGATCTCCTCGCACATGTGAAGGAATGCCATACTCCTCCACAGCAGTCAAAAAGACCTCCAGAACTGTGGATGCACAATTATTTGTGCTTGCTCGCAGCCCAGTCACCTGTGATGAAATCATTTGAGAAAATAAATATACAGGTCGAGAACATTAATCACAGTGTGGCAGAAACCATTGATGAATCCATGGATAACAATTCTCCAGTGTAAAAGCTTGTGGTGCCCATCACAATGCCACAGTGCATTTGGTCTCAAGGGCTTGTATTTACATCGTCAAAGGGTTCATCACTGTTGTAGCACATGCCCGAGGCCATCAACACAATGCAATGAGTGATGAAGTCATTGCTTTTGGATGTGCAGCCCATGGCAGCACAATAGACCAGTGAGATAGCACACACCAGAGTCTGGCTTGTGAGTTTGATATGCCACAATGAGCTGATCTAACTCAGCATCAGTGAGGGGAGTAAACTGCCGATGTATTCTATGATGGATCATATTGGCACGGAGGGTATGTCGGTGCATCTTCAAAACTCGTGCAAGCTTGGATATAGAGATGTTTCGACAGGGTGACATTGCCTCTGCTAGATATGCCTTGTCAATGACTTTGCGAGGGTGCCCTGCATGTTCTGTAGGTCTGAGCTGTACCAGTTCAACCTGGGTGGTGTGTAAATAGTCTCTGTGAGAAGCATGAGCTGACAAAAACTGATGCAGGTGTAGGTTCTAGGACATACACTCCATCCATTTTATGCATGGCCTATCCTAGTCTAACCATCAAGGATGCCAGGGCTCTTGCAGCATCCTCAATCCATGCAGTTGGAAGATGAGTTTAACCATATTGATTGGCCTTCAAAGCTCGAAGGAGTGGCAGAGCCTCATTGGCAAGCTTCTCAAGATGAAAGCACAAGCATAGTGGATCCAAGTTGTCAAGCTGGAGCATGTCTTCGGCATGTTTGCAAGCATCTTGAAGGGTCCAATATGCATTCTGGACATTGCCCAACCAAGGAGTTGATGATGGGGAGGGTGGAAGGTCAGGTAACATGGACTGAGTGTAAGACTTGATTGCGGTGCAAGCCAATCGAGGGCAGCAAATCCATCTGAAGCCACCGACTGCACAAATTGAGGTGAGCGGCTGTTACTCTGTCTAGTCAATCACTCCGTATAGTCAGCTATAGCCTCTACTGGGTGTCTTTATCAAATTTTCGGATTCTACATGTCCATCAGCTGCTCTGATGGTCTAAGCACTGCAAAGGAAGCTATGGAGACTTCTGTCAAACAATCAGAGAAGTACTACTTCAACACAGGTGATCATATTTGCCAGGTTTGTGAATCTGATCTGACAATGCTTTGAGGTCAGATGCTGATGCGAAGGATGACTTTAGGCTGAGAATGTGTTGTACAAGATCCACACCCTGATTTTGAGAACACGAGGTGTTGACATGTGGGCAGACATTAGTGCCCTGCCACAAGGGATTACACGGGATGGTTACTCAGATGATGCACCCACAATCATCCCTCAAGCGACAGCAAAAGAGTTTGAATACCTGTTGGAGTATGTCTATGGCAAGTGAGTGTTTAAGTGTGATTTGCAAGGCAGTATGAGCCTTACGGAATGCATCAAGGTGGCAGCCACCACTGTATGAGTGTGACTACTTGATTGCCATCCTGAAACTGGCATCACAATGGAAAGGCGAAAGCACACAGAACTGGGCCATATTCCATCTGAAGGAGATTGAGTGGAAGTTGCATCTTTGTTATGAAGTGTTCCCTGCTAGAACGTTCAGAACCATGTGTGCTTTCTCACACGTACTAGTCCACAACGTGGAC